TTTGGCACTTCAGAAAACATTTTGGATTTGGTGGAGGGCAGAGAGGAAGAGAAATATTGACATCCAGATTGAGTTGAGAATATTGGAAGCCCATTAAGTTTTCTTCATAAATAATCACAGTTAAGAGGTGGATAATTTGGTACCTGTTGAGGCATTTGAATAGCAGAATGGATTAGTGTGAGGATGTGGGATTCTCCTGTGCTGCAGAGAAATTTGGGTAGGATCTGTGGTGTCATGCAGGGAAAAAGGAAGGCACAGCTTCCCCACCTGTGATCTCCTGGGTAACCGCTGCCTCTGCCTCTCTCCCCAGCCTTCGTTCTTCGTTGTGTACAACATGGTGACCACAGAGGTTATTGCTGTATTCGAGAACACATCTGATGAGCTGCTGGAGCTGTTTGAGAACTTCTGTGACCTCTTCAGGAATCCCACCCTGCACAGTGAGGCGGTCCAGTTCCCCTGCTCAGCTTCCAGCAACAACTTTGCCAGGCAGATCCAGCGCCGGTGAGCCATTCGGAGCATGCTTTATACCATATAGACACACGCTCACCCCCGTCAGCTGAAGGCTAGTATCAAATAATGGCGGCAACCCTGAGAAAACCAGTTCCTTTGGTTACTGGGTGATGCAAGGGTTTGGGTTGTACACGGTTCATCTTGCAGCCTCATGTGTCTGATTTTATATTCCACAGCATCTTTCTTGTTACAGGAAGGATCAAAGTAGTGGCAATCCAGTGCTTAGAAGAAGCAAAAGGAATTTTGAGGGAAAGACGTTTTTGGCTCTCCTTGAGTAGCAGCTCTTCTGGAGGTTATTAAAGTGTTACTGCCCAGTAGCTCAGGTCCCTGAAGATAAGATTTGTCAACATGCTAGCGCCATCTAATTGGATGTATTTTGCCAAGTGGCATTCTCTGAATTTAGCGTGTATCAGACTGTGTTCTGTAGCATTTTCTCCAACATCAGTCACAAGCTTGTGGCTCTTGTCAAACTGTGCTAGGAAAAAGGAAGCTCATCTGCCTAGACCTATTGTGAAAGCTGAGCGAAATACCAAAATAACCTGGGTTTCTAGAACGTGCTTTAACAGTCAAATGTGGTTTTAATGAGGCAGAGTGTGTTATTTCTGTTGGAATACATTTTTATGTGACTCAGGGTGTTTTGTTCTTCCAGTGACTTGTTTCACATCATCCAAAGTACTTGGCAATCACTTACGGGCATGAAGCTTCTGTTGATTTTAGGTTGATGTCACATAAGTAAGAGGAAGTTGACTGTGTCGGTAACTTTCTAGAGCTGCCTGTCAGGAAATCCATAATGCTTAGTGGGAGAGAGAATGAGAGAGCTCACCACAGACACCTGAAGAACAACTCCTGCCTTGTGTTAAAAGTAGAGAAGAGAATCTTCTCATCCCCTTGGCGACAAGGGCCTGTGACAGGGGTGTTTAACTTCTATAGCAAAGTATAATAGAGCGTAATCAACAGTGAGCTGGCTTTTGGCTGAGTGTTTCTGGTCAAATTGAAGTGTTTTGTCCTCCTTGATGTATGACATCCATGCAGCTGATCTGAGTGTTCTTGCACGTGGTAAGCTCAAATTTTACTTGGAAAGAGAAATCCAGCCTGTGTTAATCTGTCCTCCAGGAAGAACTTTCAGCTCACTGTAGTTTCTGAAGAGCTTTAGGCTTCTTGTCAAGGTTCGTCCTCACCTAAGGTTTCTTGCTTTACGCATTTAAAACATAGCATCTAGAGAGAGGGGGATTCTTAAGTCAACATTAAGGGCTCAACTGTTACTGTGAAACCGTCTGGCTTTTGCTTATGCTGTTTCCAGGCTTCATGGTAAAACTTGGATTGATTGATAAGCTACTAATCCATCTCTCCCTCTTTCTGATCCTGTTCATTTCCTGTACTGCAGAGCAGCTGGGGCCAGACGTTGTGGGTAGGCACCGTCTTGTCCTCCTGTCAGTTTGGACGTTCAGAGCAGAAACAGTAGTGATGAGGGAGGATAAAAAGGTCACCAGAACTGGTTGATGCTTGAATCACTGTGATACATCTTTGGAGATGAGCTGGTTTAGTTCTTACACTGCTGCTGTTTTTCTTTCCCTGTTGGTTTTCCTCCTTAGTTTATTTAAGCTGTGCTGTTCACCTGTGGCCTTTGTGAGTAAAACCTGTTTCTTGGTTTGCTACAGGTTCAAGGACACTATCGTGAATGCCAAGTATGGAGGGCACACGGAGGCTGTGCGGAGGCTGCTGGGCCAGCTCCCGATCAGCGCCCAGTCGTACAGTGGCAGCCCATACCTCGACCTCTCCCTTTTCAGCTATGATGACAAGTGGGTGTCAGTCATGGAGCGGCCCAAGACCTGTGGTGATCACCCTATAAGGTATGGAACAGGCCAGGAAGGTGTGTGTGAGGAGAGCAGTGCGAGAGTAGCTCTAAATCACCTCTGCCATGTGGCATCAAATGTGCAGAAAAGGGAGTAGATCGAGGCCTTTCTCTTATGACATCCTTTCACCAGAGGTTTTATTTCAGCAGTCCCACAAAGCTTGGCTTCTCTCCTTCTGATAACTGTTTTATCTTGTGTGTGTGGGAGGGCTCTTCAGGGCTTCTCACTGAGCTGCCCTGGGAAAGGTTTGGATAGTGAAGTCAGCCTTTTCCATATGAATGCTCTTGTTCCTCCTCCTCTTCTTGCAGCCCTGTTGTTGTGTTTGGCCTGCAGAGTGATGTGGTTCTGGGTGCGCGCTTTCCTGTGCTGGAAGGATCCCTTTTGAGCACATGGGTTTATCTGGCAAGGATGATCTGGTTTGTCCTGCGAATAAAATAGCATCTGGGTTAGGTGTTACTCAGAATGCTTGTGGTATTGATTTAGCTATTTTCAGACTTTCCTTGTTTACAACTCTCACCCTGGGAGCTGTACTCCTCTTCATACCCCTCTTCTTTCTGTGATCTGTAGGAAATTCGTTTCTATAACAGGAGTTTTAGCCAGGTATAAGGGCCATTCTATGCTGCTTCTGTCTGAGACTTCAATGCTAGCAGAAGGAATAAGGCTGCAGTTGGGAATAAGGAGGTTTGCAACGCTTCTTGCAGAAACACCAGGGCTATTTATTTCTTTTTGTTGGCTGCAGCCATAGCTGCAAGTAGTAGTGGTTAAAAATCCAACATCTCTGGCCTGAAAGGCTCAAAGAGGCTGAGTTCTCCAGGCAGAATAGTCTTTCCACTTCCAGTATTGCAAAAGCAAACCTATGCTCTGAAAACAAAGAGAGCCTTCAATGCCTAAGTGCTTTGTTTAGTGACTGCACTCATGTTGGGGGCTCAGGCAGCCTAGGGAGACCATTCTGGCTGGTTTCCCAATTTTATTTTCATCAATGCATTCTCAAAAAGTGGTTTCATGTCTCCCCTGGCCCTGACTCAGGTGGTAGGGAACCTCTGATTATTCCTGTGCTCTCAATTCCCAGATTATGTATATTTAATTGATTTTTCTGCCTGTATGATTTAGTTTGATCTCCAGTTCCCATGTTACCTGCAGAGAAAAGCCTGCCCTTTCCCCCTTGTCATGCTTGACATTGGGAAAACTTGCAGGGCGGCAGTTGTCTGCCAGTGCCAACCTGCGTATGGTTCCTGCAGACAAAAGGAGCAAAACCGCAGTCATTTGCTGTGGTTACGTCTTTGTAGTAAACAAAGCGAAGTGCCACCTTCCCTCCCTCCCCTGAGCAAACCGACATTTCAGAGCCAGAGCTTTTAAAGCTCAAAGCTGTGCAGAGTCAATTAGGACTTGAATAGGGCCTCAGAGCAGTGGGGCTCCTGGTTTTTGGAAAATAAGCAGAAGACGAGGAGCTAGCCTTAACCATTCAGCAACTGAAATAGTGCTGCTGTGTTTCTCACATGCAAAACAAAGGGATTAATAAAATAATGCTGCTGCCTGTTGTGGTAAGAGGGCTTGGAAACGAGGGGCCACAGGATTTGTAATATAAGTCCTATAATTGGCTGGAATGCAAAACCCTTCAGCAGCTAAGAGCGTTACAATCTGTGTGCAGTTTCCTGGCACCTTGTGTGAGATAGGAAGGCCTCCATACCTTTTACATATGGTTTCAGTGCCTCTGTGCACTGTGTCCTTTTAACCCTTAGTGCCTTTCTGCATCCTAGAAGGTTGAACTCTTGACTCTGGCTAATTGAGAGACCAGTGGTTGTTTGCTCTCGGGAGGGAAGGACTTTAGGTTTGCAGTCACTGCTGTCTTCCAGTATATTTTCAGGAGGCTTGAAGAGATATTCACTGGGTGAAATGATGGCACTTGTGAGGAAGAGGCTCTAACACAGCCTTACCTTTAGTAGGGGGTCTCTAAAATGCATCTAGATGGCTAATAAGAAGCCATTTAACCAAAAAATTGTTCTGAAAATAAATCTTCCATTTTCATAGTTTGAAAAGGCTAGTCTTGCTGTGTCTGTTGACATACAATTTTATATTGCAGTGCCTAATTTATCCTCAGAGTGAGAGCCCATGGAAATGGCCTCTGATTGTAGAGCACTTTTAAAAATACATTTAAAAATACCAAACTGAGCACATCTTTGAGATTACAGGGAGCTTCATCTTGAGTAGTAAATTATTGTGAATTGGGGAGAGAGAGGAGCAGATGGGGGACTGTGCTTTATTTAAAGAATGACCCTCTGCGTACCCAGCCTTGTGTAGGAGGGAAAGGGCTTTTTGAAAAGCCAAATACCAAGATTGTAACTCTCTTGCTGGGTTCTTGTGTGCAATTTTCAGGCAGGGCTGGCTAGCACTTTGATTCAGAGGAAGGGAGAGGAGAGTGGCCCTCCAGGAAGAACATGAGGTTCTCAATAGGCTGTGTTGTTAAAACGTGGAGTATGTCTGCTCCTGAAACATCATCACCTGTATCTGTCATCACCTGTTCTTCCAGGCTGAGAGCCGAGTGCATTGTGTTGCTGGCGGGGGGGAAATGTGCTCTGAGATTAAAAGCATTCTCTGAGTTAAAACCAGAGGAAAATGCAAAATACCCACATGTACTAAGTGATGGTGGAAAAGGAAACAGCTGGGAGGCAAAATGGCAATTCTGTGCCTGAAACTGAAAGAGCAGAGAAAATAGTTTAACGAACTGAGACAACTTCAGGGTGAGGGCTTGAGTTAGAGTCCAGCTGCTTTATGAAGGTACCACATCCAGAAACCTCCACCATCACATCCCAGAAACCTCCACCAAAGTCTTGGGGAGGGTGAGGTCATTGCAGAGAGTCCCCTGTTCCCACAGCAGCACAGGACCATGGTGTTACCTGGGCTTATGTCGGTTACACAGAGTATACAGAGGAGGTTCAAGAAGCAAAGAGCTTCCTAGACTTGCCTGTCTCTTCAGTGCTGTTTGCCTCGTCCGCTTGGCAATGTTCGCTTTGTACTGAAGCTGCTTGCCACAGCACACCTCTTTGGACACACAAATGAGCTTGACCCACAGGCAGGTTTGTGGATGACAGCAGAGGGACGCAAGGTTTTCCTTGACCTCTGCTCTCGGTGTGATTGTTGAATACAATCCACCAGGTACTTCCTGCCCAGCCTATCTCGTTAATGCTTTTTTGATGGAAATCTAAAAGGAACTGCAAAGCCTTGCCTGAGCTGTAAAGTACAACTTGGCACCCTTGAACAGAATTGGATTGAGCTGTTCACCTTCCTCGACTAAATAGGGATGTAGTGAGTGGCAGCATAAAGCCTACCTGGCAGCACTAGGAGAGGGAAGGGGTGGCCTTACATTTGGAGTGAGGGCCATTGCTAAGGGAAGTGAGCTCAGTTCCGTACGGCATATCTGCCTCAGGGATCAAGGGGAGCAGCTTGCATTAAGAGAAGATGAAGAGCTAGCACAGGTGGGGCCTGGACCAAACTTATTCCCTCTTGTGAAGCCAGCTATGTCCATCGGAATGACAGGCAGAGTTCTCTCATTGGTGATACTAAAATGAAGTCAAACTTTCCTAGACAGTGGAAAACTAGCTGCCCCAGGAGGGTCTTTCCCATATAGCCAAGAGCCACACACCCAGCTGAGGACCTTCTTGCCCCTGAGGGAGTACCAGAGATTGAACAAGGCACTTGTCTCTGTGTGTGAAGAGCCTAGATGGCAAAGTCAATAGTCGGGAACAGCGATAATTGATTTTCTCTTCCTTTCAGATTTTACGCTCGTGATTCTGGCCTCCTGAAGTTTGAGATCCAGGCGGGACTTCTGGGGCGACCAATCAATCACACAGTGCGACGCTTGGTTGCGTTCACCTTCCACCCCTTCGAGCCCTTTGCCATCTCGGTACAGCGCACTAACGCAGAGTACGTGGTTAACTTCCACATGAGGCACAGCTGCACATAGTACGACGTGTAGCTGGGGCGGTTTGCTGTCCTTGGGTCTGGGCCTCTGCCACAGACACACCAAAGCCAGACACTCGCACCTTCTAGGAAACCAAACCGTCGCTCATGTCAAGAAACCTGACCTGGGAGCTCCTACCAGCCAGCATTCTGTAGGGCCCTCAGCTGTGGAAAGCCGATCTGCTCGTTAGGCGTGTGAATATTTCTTCTGACCCTGTTTGTACTGTGGAGGTCCCGCTGCATTAAGTGCTGCTGTTGTTCCCTGTTCCTGTTGATGAACAAAGTGTAGCTGAGGTACCTTCCCTGGTTTCCCAGAGGCAAGTCCGTTTTCTCTCCTGTTGTAGGTCTTAGGATGGCAAATATGGAGCTTTGCAACACATTTGTGGAGTGCTCCCTTCTGCACTGGTGCTTTCCTGCCTTGTTGAGATAAACAGCCTGTTGTAGAGGGAATGGATGGGGGCCATGGGGAGGGCTTAGAAATACAGCTACCTGCGTTTATATCTTCAGTATTACTAGGGAAATGAAATCCTGTTCTCATCCACACAGTCTGCTCACGTGGTTTTAATATGCAAGAGATCAGGAAAAAAAGGTGTGAGAAATCACTGCAGTTTAGAGACATGAGGCATGTACCTGACTCTTATGCAAGTCACTTAATCTTTGTGCCTTAGTATCTGTAAAAGCTCCTAAGTGAAAGGTGGTGTGTTAATACCAGAAAGGAAGGCAGCTGGTTGTGTCTCTAATGCACGAGGAGGTGGGCACAGAAGGAAGATGAGTGTCTGGAAAGTGTATGGGGAGCAACAGCAGCTCCTCGCTCACGTCGGAAGGACTTTTCCGCAGCATGGGGGTGAATCCTCACGGCCATCTACAGGCTCTGCTGCTGAGGGGAAGGGAGACCCAGCTGCTGGCACCCTCCTGCGTGTTGGAGTATGAGCGTGGAGAATTAGTAGCATTGGGTTTGCCCAGAAAGGAGGGAGGAGACCTGAATTCGTGTGCACTGCTGCAGGTTTGCAGTTGGGAGACGAGCTTGTTGACTTAGGGTGCTTACCTATCCCTGTTTGATATGCTGTTCTCCGTGAGAACCTGATTTGCTGTTCCCAGGCTTCAAAGCACAGCTGGCTGGTGCATTGACGCTGACTGGACCACTGCGGTGTTTATGCTGCTGATACAATAAGCTCCTGGGTGTAGTATTACCTGCCACCGTGGGCTGGTGGCCTACCTTTCTCTCTTAAAAATGGAGTTTTTGGTTGCAGGCCAGCATTTGGGCATTTCTGCACACAGGCTTGTTTATGACTGTGTGCTGCCCGGCAGTGCAACCATCCCAGCATCGTGAGGTGCTCCGTCGGAAGCTGGAGCCTGCTGTTGTCCCATTCCCACAGGAGGTACAGAGCGGGCATTAGAAAATTGGTGCTTATACATGGGAGACCCTGTGGGTGTCTTGTTTGGACCAAAATGAGCTGTGGGTGATACGTTGTGGCCACGTGCCTGTGAAGAACAGTGTTGAAGTCATGCGTTCATTTTGCATGGTAATGCATGGGAAAATAACTGTGTGGGTTGTGGATGCCTGCTTATAGCATGAATAGTGGACCTCGTAATGGAGGGTGTCCTGCGGTCCTTGAATCAGCCTTTATTCTCTGTCTCATGGTACTTCTCTCCTCTTGGTAAACATATTTCTAGGGTAAGACGTTGTATTTCACCGCTCTTTTCCTGATGTTTGCACTGTTGGTTTCTCAGGTCTGTCAGGAGCGACTTCAGGTCAGAAGACTGCTAATAGAGGAGGTGTCAGGCTGCGCGTGCTTTAGCTCCAGGTTCCTCTCCATCTAATAACACTATTTGTCAAGGTTTTAGGTTTTTATCCTGTGATCTGTTCCTCAAACATTCAATTAAAGCTCCGAGTGGAGAATCATTTGCACATTGTAGATCATGGATTTACCTCCTTCTGCACCACTCTCACATTTGTTCACACTTCCAGTATGAGACTTTTTTTTTTTTCTTTTCCCTTTTGCAAAGCTGTCAGCAGCTTCATCCAAGACTGGGTTTACTCCTTGGCATCACAGCCTTGGGAGGTCAGTGCTTACTAAAAATAGCTGTCAGATCTCCATTTAGACTTTTTTTTGGTGGCAAAATATAAACCACCTTAGCATTTCTGTAGTCAGGGCTTTTGCCAAATTCAGGCTGTCCTGTGTGAAACAGAGAGCATGGCACAGATTGTTGGATTTGGGGCTGAAAGACTAGAGATCTGTTCTTAGCTCGGCTATTAAATTGTTCTGTGACTGGGGGCAAATCTCTTCCTGTTGCAGCTGGTGTTTTCTTCTCTGTAAATGAGGCCAAAAACATATTTTCAGCTTTTGTAAAACACTTTGAGATTCATGAATAGAAAGTGCTGGATAAGTGCTAAGTATTTTCTTATTATGTTTGCAGACAAACTGATTGATCATTCTGGGTACTAATTGCCTTGGAGTAGCATAGCAGATCCTCTGGTCTTGGCTGCTGCATTTTATATCTACAACAGAGTTAATTTTATTACTGAAATGTATTGAAAGAAAAGTCTCTCATGCTTGAAATTTTGATTCTTTTATTTAAGAAACAAAAAGTGTATGTGGTGGGGAGTGTGGGATGAAAGGGGAGATATTTTCTACCTGATATTTTTCCTAGGCTAGGATGAAGATTTGTTAGCAACACAAGACAAAAATGGAATAAACAGAATTTGCTTTAAGAGCCTGATTTATTGTCTTTGTCTTCCAAAAATCTTAATGGTGCAGATGAGAATCCCTTTGCTAAGAAGAGACAGCAGGGGTGTGCCTTGGACTACACAGGCATATTGCATGTGAGTTTGCTGCCTCTTCCTGGCGCTTGGAGTACAAGTGTGCTGAAGGATGTTCCTACCTGAGGCACTTCTGTAGCTACTGAAGATTTCTCAAATTATTGTCTACATGAGCTAATGCTGGGGGAGGAATTCTTCGCCTTCAGTTATGTTTTCCCCTTTGTACGTTGTCACTAGCCCAGTTTGTATTCGGAGACTCTTCCTTTATTCCATTTATAACATTTCTCTAACCTTGTGGTCATTTTCTGCCGATGGTCCGTGATCAAGAGATGAAAGCTGAACACACCTTGCTTGGTGGAAGAGCCATTGCCTGTCCACTGCTTTTAGGTTGGGCTGAGGCACTCGGATTTTCCACTGTGTGCTGCTCCCAGCCATGGTGCAGCTTTGCAGAACCTTTTGGCTGAGAACATGTGGATGGAACCTTCCCAAAGTCTGGGATTCCCTTGTAGTCCGCTGCTGCATCTAGCCGATGTATGCTAGCAGCATCCCTGTTTGTGTTAGTTCCTCTTAGCATCTGCATCTTGGGCATGAAAGCCACTTTCCTTTGAACGCTTCCTCCATTTTCATGTGTGCAGTTCTCTGATGCTTTCCTTTGGAGACCTTGAGCGTATCAGAAAGCTCTTGAGTCCGTGGCTTTTGAGATAGATACTGAGTGACAAGGAGATGCTTGATTTGGAAACTGTGTTTGAGTGGCAGCAGAATCCCTTCTTTTGTTACTTCCTGTGCTGCCTTTGCTTTTAGAAAAAAATAATAGTAAGAGCAGGACACTTGCAATATTTCTTATATAAACTGCATTAGACAGTGAGCCACAGAAATCCCATTAGAATCAAACCTGTGTATCCCTTAATGGTGTGTCCCTACTAAAGACTCCTTTCAATTAACCTTCCAGCACTGCGCGGCTGGCCCTGACTTAGCTCCCTGATGTTCTCAGTGTACTTATAGGACCTTCCTTTTGCTCAGGTGCTGGTGTCTATTTTGCTTCCCTTGGTCCTTTTGACCCAGCTAGGCGAATCAGATTTCTGATGCTTTAAGAAGTCTCTTCGTCTTTCTTATTTGTGTCCTCTGTCTTGCCGCTTTTCTGCCAGCTTTTCCTGCAGGATCTCTCAGGGCTGTGGGCAGAGAGATGGTAAAGGCTGGATGGCAATGGGACATGTGGCCCTTTTGTCCTTGCGTGAACCTTTATCAGATAGGTGCATGCTGCAGAGCAAATAGGTGGTCCTGTGGGCAAGCAATGGGACAGGGTTTTGCAGGTTTGTTTTTGCCTTGCTTGCTGAGTTTTAGAGTCCAGGTCACTGATATAGCTGAATCCTTGTGCTTCCCTGTCTTTTTACATGGTTGTAAAAGCTTTTCTGGCCAACTACTCCTCAGGAGGAGGGAATGGTGAAAGGAGGGCTTTTTTTCTTTTTTTTTTTTTCCCTTTTTTCCTTGCTCCAGGGCTGCGGTGGATGTGGGCTGAGCTGTGCAGAGTCAGTCATTGTAGCAGTAACAGCCTGGCACTTCGTGCCCACCAGGCTGACTGCTCATCAGGCAGCAGTGTCCCTTGCTAAAGCCATTTGCAGGCTAAGGTCTGATTTGCCTTTGTTTCTCTCAGGGAAGAGCTGTACTTACTGCGTAAGAAAATGAGTTCTCAGAAAAATACCAATGTGGGAAAAACCCTGAATTGCACATTCTTTTCCTGATGTTTTGACATAAAAATACCGCACTAGTTTTAGACTAGCAATCTGGAAACCGGTAAATCGTGGGCGACTACCGTGGTCCTGCATGCAAGCAGAACTGAAAAGGGACACAGTGTCCCTAATCCCAGCTGCTTAGGCATGTGCTGCAGCATCTGGGTAAGATGTTGGCCCTCACTTGGTTAGCAAGGAGTGGAGGACATTGTACAAGCCCACAGGCTTTGCTCCATTTGGTCAGAGGTAATTTTTTACCGTCTCTTGGGTTTTTTTTTAACTCCCAGAAGTCAAATCCTTTCCTTCTAGCTGTTGCAGTTTGCTAGCAGGGTGATTGCTGTCTGTTCTCAGTTTTGTAAGGATGCCAAGTGCACCTGAAAATTTGAGGACAGTTTTAGAGGAGCATGGCAGGGAGATGCTTGGTGGGTGTCCAGGGCCCTTGGCAGGCCAGAGAGAGGAGGACCACAGGGAGAGGTGCCTCCCAGGGGAGATTTTCTAGAAAAGCAGCAGCACAAC